TTGACCGGTTTTTGATGTTTTATCTTATCGAAGCTAAAATAGCTAAAATATGGTAGTGTGACAGAAAGTTAATAGTAATAATTTTGATCACGAAACGCCCGTCGATGGAAAGCGAAATGAAGTTGTGTTATTTAGATATGTCGTATTCAGTTGAAATTCCCCTAAAATTAGTCATTATAAAATCATAAATGATAAAAAGTAGTGCTGATGATATTGATGATAATGAATAAGGATAAGTGGTAAATGTTGAAACAAGTAATGATGATAAAGATAGATGACACTAGTGATTATGAAGGATAAAGAATAGTGATGTTAATGGTAACAATAATAGGGATGATGATGATGAGGAGGAGGAGGAGGATGATGATGGTGATGATCAATGATAATAATAATAATAATAACGATAATAATAATGATGATAATAATTATAATAATAATAATAATAATAATAATAATAATAATAATAATTTAATACAGTTTCATCTCCGAGCACCGTCGTTGCGTAGGATCTGCTATTGTGATAGATGTCCGTTCGATGCTATTTCCCTTCGCCTTTTTATGTCGAACCTGATCTATTTTCGTACCAGATTTATTGGCGATTTATTAGTGGCGTTGCCCAATTACTTGCTGGTCGGGTCGGGGGGGGGGGGGGGGTCTTGGTTTGTGGAAATGATAGGAAATGTGTAGAGGGTGGACAGGCGAGGCCAAGTCGGTGCCGGTCCTAAGCCCTCGTCGATGGAGAGGGTTGGTGTCAGGAAGGGCATCCGGGCAAAAAAAATGGGACAAAGCTACAGCAAAAGAAGAAGGTTGTGGAGGGAAGGGAAAGAGTGAAGAGGGGTTGGTTCTTGCCTTCGCTATGAGGTTTTCCATTCTTGTAAGGTTCAGAAGGATGCTCTGGAGGGTATAGGTACTTCATGAGGGATTTAGGGATTTGCTTAACCTCATACCCACCTCATACCGTGCGAATTTAGGACTATAGAACCTAAGTATCATGAGGAAAAGCATAACAACAATTTCCTGTTTTAGTTCATAGCTTGGCCAGTGCTAATGTACAGTCATCTCTGTCTTTTGTCTTGCTGTCCACTTCAATGCGTCACAGGATCTAGAACAATGACCTTATGACATCTCTCGCTTCCTCCTTTCACGTGACACAAGGTACTTTTTTCTCCTCCTTCTTCCTCTTCTGTCGCTTTGTCGCATTTTTACTCGGGGTCGCTTTTCCTGACTCGTCTTCACCGACTACTTTTGCCATTCACTTCGTCATTCAGATTTTTCGCTTACATGCCGTTTTGCATTTCTGTATTTTCACCTCTTCTGGGGCCTTTCTCTGCTCGTTCTTCCCCTTACTTCCATCTCCGTAACTCTTCCTCCAGCATAAAAAGGCTTAAGCCAGAACCAGATTATAGTGAGTGTTGGCACAAGGTACTTTGACATATATTTTTATATGTTCCTTGACCTGGCACCTTCCCTCTCCGCGTCGCCTCCCCCCCTCCTCCTCCCTGTGGTCGCATCGCACAGTTATTCATTCATTGATTATAAGATCATCTTTATGAGAACAGTCCCACCCTCATTTGTTGGCACGTGGGGTGAGGGGGGTGGGGAGCGGTATGGGCGTGAGGATGAAATAGGCGTGAGAGTGCGGTGGGCGTAGAACGGTCTTAGCCATCTAGCATGTAGCTGTGGTAAAATGTTACGTAATCTGTCAGGCTATTTTTAGGGTTTAGGGTCAGGCTTAAGGTGAGAGTAGGTTAGAACAGGTAGGGTTAGGTTAAGTTTGGTTTAAGTTAGGTTAGGTTAGACTAGAATATGTTTAGGTTAGGTTAGAATAGGTTTACGGTAGGTTAGGTTAGGTTTACGGTAGGTTAGGTTAGACTAGAATATGTTTAGGTTAGGTTAGAATAGGTTTACGGTAGGTTAGGTTAGGTTAGGTTAGAATAGGTTTAGGTTAGGTTTACGGTAGGTTAGGTTAGACTAGAATATGTTTAGGTTAGGTTAGGTTAAGTTTGGTTTAAGTTAGGTTAGGTTAAGTTTAGGTCAGGTTTTGACTGAGTTAGGTTTGGTTTAGGTTAGAAAAGACTTAGGTTAGGTTAACTTAGATTTAGGTTAAGTTAGGTTAGGTTAGAATAGGTTTACGGTAGGTTAGGTTAGACTAGAATATGTTTAGGTTAGGTTAGGTTAGGTTTACGGTAGGTTAGGTTAGGTTTACGGTAGGTTAGGTTAGGTTAGGTTAGGTTAAGTTTGGTTTAAGTTAGGTTAGGCTTAGCTTAAAGGCTAGATTTAGGTTAAGTTAGGTTAGGTTAAGTTTAGGTCAGGTTTTGACTGAGTTAGGTTTGGTTTAGGTTAGAAAAGACTTAGGTTAGGTTAACTTAGATTTAGGTTAAATTATGTTTAGGTAAGAAAAGGTTAGAATAGGTTTAATTTAGGTCAGGTTTACGGTAGTTTAGAATAGGTTTAGGTCAGGTTAAGTTTACGGTAGGTTAGGTTTAGGTTAGGTTAGGTT